GCTGTCAAAAGCTTTCGGAGAGGCAAGACTGAGTCAGTTGAGTGGAAGCAATCATCCAATTGATTTTGGGATGCACCATGTCCTTTGGCTTTCACGCAATGAGAAGACCAATCTCTATAGGGCATGTGTGTGAGTTCATGCTGTCGTCTGCTGTGGACTCAGAAAGGATCTTCAATCCCTTTGGAACTCTTGCTAAGATGTCAATCGTTTTGGAGATTAGCCGATGACACCAACGACAATCCAGCTTGCGTTTGGAGTCTTCTTTAGGAGCCTTCTCAATCTCTGTTTCATCGGTGTAGTTGCACCAATGGTCGTTGATTTCAAACCATTCTTCTGGAGATCACTGGACTCAAGGATACAGGTGCATCTGTTCGCAATCAAAGTGTCACCAAAAGCAAACTTGTCAGCAGACGACAATGGCGACGGGCACCTGTGGGGATGAATCAGATCACTCCTGGTGAATCATGCGAATCCAATACGCGGGAGCCTGAACCCAATGATCTGTTGTTCGAGTTCGGGCTGTTTGTGGATCAGAGTTAGAACAGCCGCACTTGGTTGCACAAAGGAATGCTCGTGAGTGTGTGATTGGAGAACGTGATTGATCTTGTAATAGGTTGCTTTCACTGATTAATGTCTACTGTGTGTTTGCATGGGAGCTTCGGCTCTGGAACCAGGAAAGAGAGAGAAAGAATGGATTTCGAAGTGAGGAATTGGAGGCGAAATCAAACTGGCAAAATTGGATCGGATTGATGCACGGCATTGAGCCAAAAAGCCAAAGTGCAATTTTCGTTTTTACACGAGTACGAAGGAAAGCACAGATAGAGAAAGCTCAAGCAGGCAAGCCACACAGGAACTCCAACAAGCATCCTAACCACACTCTGTGCGCACAGCCGCCCATGAAATGCAGCTTCGGTGCTAAAGCGCCGTTTGCCGCGCAACGACTGTAAGACGAGTATGAACTGTGTCGTCCTATACGTGCACAGTCTGAGACACCAGCTGCGCGAAGAACTGGGATCGGCTGTGTTACCGAGCACCTCCACATGTGTTACAATGGACGATCATCCGCACGGCCAGACTGTGGAGTCTCCCTCGTTGATGCAAGTCCATACGGGGATTGAGGAGCACGGCGATAGACGTCCAGGATTTGTTGGCGTGAGCAGGCCTCGTCGACGGCGGTTGCCGCACTCAGTCCTAACGAAATCAACAAGAAGAAACAATGAACTAAAAAGCAACTAATAAACGGTGAAACGAGCTGCGACCAACAGGCTAAGCCGGCAAGAGTCGTTCAGCAACGAATTATCCGTCTCATATCTGTAAAGCATGGGTCGCGCAATGGCACATACTGGCAGCTTCAAGGCAGAGT